GAGCTTCGCAAAGACCTTGCCCCCCCCCCAGCGAGTGTAGTAGGTGTTGCACTACTGGGACGGGGTAGGCGCTTTGTTGCAGGGCACAATTGAGGGTGGCCTTATAGTCCCCGCAGATCTTTACTGACCCATCTGGCTTAACTGGGGTGACTATTGGGGTCTCCCATCGGGCGTGGTCGATTGGTTGCAAAACCCCCTGTTTGACGAGCTTGTCAATCTGCTCGTCGATTTTTTTCCGGAGTGCGAAAGGCACCCGTCTTGGTTTTAGGCGTATGGGGGCGATATTGGGGTCTAGGCTGAAAGAGATAGGGGGCCCTCGGTACTTGCCTAGGGTGCCGTCGAATACTTCTTGGAAGTCCTTTGCCAGTTGCTGCTCCCAGTCGGCCTCTGTGATGTGGTTTATGCCCGTAACCTCGATGCCGAGTGGCGCGAACCATTGGAGGCTGGGTCGGTTTCGGTCCACGATCATCAGGGGAAGCTTCGCGGTGCGGTCCTTGAAGGTCACCTCAAACTGTCCGGTCCCGATGACGGGGATGCGGTTCCCCTGGTAGTCCTTGATCACCAGCTTCTGGTTCTCCAGTCCTCCTTTCTGGATGGTTGGCACCAACCGCTTGATTTCTTTCCAGGCGACCATGGAGAGGTAGGACCCGGAGTCCACCTCCATCCGGCATGGTTCGCCCTCGATGTCCACCTCCACGTAGACTTTTCGGGCATCGGTGGTTTCAGCGTGGCCGATGGTGACCGTCTGGTGGGTTTCCTCTCGCTGGCGGCCTTCTCCGTTTCGTCGCCCCCGGGTGTCTCGGCTCCAGCGATTTTCGGCTTGGCGGTCTCTGGTTCTGGGGGGGGGTGTCGTCTCGCCCCTGGTTGCTCGGGTCTCGGCGGCGGGGGCTGTGTGTTTTTCTGAGTCGGCAGACTCGGGCAATGTGGCCCTTCTTGTTGCAATGCCGGCAGATCGCGTCGATGAACCGGCATTCTGATCGAAGGTGGCTGCCCCCGCACCCGGCGCACTGGGGTCCCGACTTACGACCTCGTTGATCTCGTCGGTCCCGTCCTGCCTGGAGCCGATGGACGTCTTCCTCCTCTTCCGTGGTATCTGAGGCGGAGTCCAGGTCCCCGTGGTGTGTGGTGGTCTCTCGTCGGCTTGCTTCGGGGGTTTCTGTGTGGTCCCCGTTTTCTGCCCTCCGAAGCCTGGCTGCTGACTTTCGGGTGGCTTCGGCCGCGGAGGCTTCGGCCAGGGCGTCGGCGAGATCGATGTCGCCCTTTGCCATCAGCCGGCTCTTCAGTGCCTGGTCCCTGAGGCCTAGGACCACGCGGTCTCGAAGGGCATCGTTGAAATCCCGGAACTCGCACATCCCCCCTAGGTCCCGCAGGGAAGCTATGAAGTCGCTGACACTCTCGTCCTGCCGCTGGTTCCGCCGGTAGAATTCGTCCCGCCGAATGAGAATGGGCACGGCGGGGGCCTAGTGGTTCCGAAGTAGCGGCTCGAGATCGCCCCAGTCCATCGCCTTCACATCCGCGGGCTTCGCAAGGGCTTTGGCCATCTTGAACACTGCGGGCCCGCAGTGTGTGAGGAAGACGGCCCTCTTTTTCTGCCCGTTCGCATCCTTCAAGGAATCGGTCCGTGTATGATTCCCAGTCCTCGGTAGCCGGGTTGAACGGTGCTGGCGGGGTCATGCTGGCCATCTAGTCGGTCTTTGTCTTTCTCGGGACATGTGCTCGGTGGTTATTCTCTGTATCCCACCCTCGTCGCCAGTGTCGTGTCCAGCGCAGGAAGGAAGCTCGGAGTCAGTGACTGGTTTCAGCTCTTTATTGTGCTCCGATTACAGCTTAAGGTTGAAGGGAAAAACTGCGGCTTTTTATTCCCGAGCCGCGGCGGCCACGGCCAATGGCAACGCTTCGAATCTCCCGCGATTAGTTTCCACCAATCGCAGGGGATCCGCAACGGGCCAATCAGTGCGGCTCGCTCAACCAATCCGGTCGCCGCGCGCTTTAGCCAATCGCGACGCGGGGCTACGAGTATGTAAATTGACTGTACAGAACAACATGAATTTAGGACCATAAAGAAAGTTAAAAGCAATAACAAAGGTGGGTTTGAGTGTGCCTGGGAGACCTCTCAACTATTTTGCTTCAGTGTTGCTCCCAAGTTCTCCCAAATTCTGATTTGTGTTCAGATGGACCTAAGTGGAACTATTGGCAAACCTAGAGTGAAGTAAACAAAAAAAGATAGTGACGAGAAAAAGTTTGTTTCCAGGAAAAAAACTAATTTTAAAATTGAAAGTCTGGCAGATGTAATCTAAGAGTCCCTTTCTGTGATCTTTGAAAAACGTATGAATATCTAAACTAAAAACCTAGAATTTTATGTACGTTGGAATTTTGTTTCACGGCAACATTTATAGTTTTTAAAATCCTGAGCAGTAGCAGAAAAACAGATAGAGATCCTTGAAGAACAAGTAAAGATTACTTACTCCTGCAAAATTTTACTATCTGTCGTCTGAGGAAACCCAAAGTCCATCAGCTCATCCAGTAGCTCATACACAATGACAAAATTGTCACGGATGCTCTCTTCCTCCAGCTCCTTGAAGTATTCAGAAAAAACCTGTCAAAGAGAGAATGGGTACTGAAGAATTGAAGATATTATTACCCTGTAGTTAAGTTTCCAGAATTCTCATTGCTTGGATAAAATGTCTCTTCTGGAATGTCCAGTTTTGTACACAAATGGAACTGGATAAAGACAACAGGAAGGGACTCAGGTCAAACTATTCACAGGGGCAGGAAGGAGACTATAAAAAAGACTAAGTGTAAAGTTGGGTGACTTTCAACCTAGTCTTAGGTCCTGCAAGTTCCATTCCCCAAACTTCTGTTAAGATATGTTCTTATTCAGAACGTCCACCAAATTGAGTGTTCCAATTCCACTATGCCTGCTTTTCTATGTATAGAGTGCTCTGCTCTGCTCTGCTTTTGTACTAGAAATAAATAAATAACATGGAGATGTGGAAGAAAATTGAAAATCCTTGCTAGAATGAAGGTTGCTGAAAGAAAAACAGAATAGTTTTGAATGATAAATTGTTTTAGCTCCTCACTATTTACTATTCTAACTAATCAGCTGTTACTCATGTTTTGATACATCTTCCTCTGAAGATGTCTTAGAAATTATCACTGGTCTAAATTGTAAATTGTTGACAAATATTAAATAGAATAATTGAAAAAAATGTATTTTGCTGTGGGCTCAACTGCTAATCTATTCAGATCCTTGGGTGCTAATCTTTGAAATGGATTCTACCATATTGTCCAGACTGCCATGCTGCTGCACCAGCCATGCTTCACCAGATGCCAGTCTGCCATATGCAATGGGGGAAGGAGCTGTGGGGTGGGATAAGGTGAGGGGTTAGCATAAAGGGAATCAAAAATACTCGTTTTGACGTGCTGTGAGAGCCACCGGCTGTTCCATGGTCACATCAAGGTCACATCACGCCAGGGACTGCTACCAAAACAATTTGTTTGAATGTAATTGCACAGCGATAACCAGGGGGGAAGTTGGGAAAAATGGAAAAGTTAACCAGATGCCATGGGTGTGAAAGTTTAGATCTGGCTTTGTTACATTGTAACCACTTTGCTGTACTTTTGATAAAATGGATTCTCGAGTCTTTCTTTTCTAACTGATTAAGTTATGACAGCTGACACATTTATTTACTTATTTATTTAATACATTTATATAGCTGTTAACTTTATAACCAATTGTGGGCAGTTCCCAATCAATGAAGGATCACCCTCTCTACATAGGAACCTTTCTATAAAGTCATCTTGTGTGATTACAGGCAAACAATAATTGTTTTCAATGTTTTTATTTTTATTAAATATAGAAAGAGCAAAAATTTCAGTGTCTATATAAACAGTGTGTTGTCTGGGTACAATTAATTTAAGCAATAATCATAATCATGATAACAATAGTGTTCATAATATTAGTATTAAACATATAATAACAGTAGCATTAATAATAAACATATGTCAGTAGTGCTTACATATCCATTTGGTGAGCCATTTTTACAAAATTAGTCATTCTCTTATATTTTTTAAAATCTAACTTCTGTTTCTGCTTGTTAACCATTGATAAAATGAATCCCATATTAAAAATATTCAATGACTTCCTTATCTTTAAGTGTTAGTCTATTCATTTCTGCACATACTAATATTTTTTATTACATTCTCTTCTGTGGAATCTCTATGTTCTTCCAGTGTTGCACAAATGCAATTCTAGCCACTGTTAATACATGTACATATTCCCTTATTATATTCTTCTGGTATGATACCCAACAGAAATATTTCCAATTTTAAGTCTATGTATACTTTTATCATTTTTTTTTCCTATCCAAGTGTGTATTTTTGTCCAGTATTTTTTTTTTGCCTTTGAGCACGTCCACCACATATGGTAATATGAGCCTGGTGCCTGGTTACATTTCCAAGCACTTAGCCGACATTAAGAACATTAACATCTTAGCTGGTCTTGCTGGTAGAACGTGCCATCTGTAAAACATTTTGTATACGTTTTTTTTTATGTACTGTTGACATTGTTACTGTATAATTCCTCTCCCACAATTTTTGCCATTTGTCTAATTCTATCAAGTAACCAAAGTTTTTGGCCCACACTACCATCGTTTCCTTTACTTGTTCTTCTTCCATTCTAAAGCTCAGTAGATTGTTGCAAATTTTTTATTAGTTTTTCATCTGTTCCTGTTAGGATCTGATCTAATTCTGTTAGTTCTTTGTAAAAACCATATATTTTGGCATCATTCTCTTGTCTCGATTATATTTGTCCCTGCGGCCACCATGCTAAGTCAATCCCTTGACTTGATTGTATTTGTCCCTGTGGCCACCATGCTAAATCAATCCCTTCAGTTCCTTTTACTTTTAAGTTTTTCATTCAGAATGTCTTTATATCTTATAAATATTTAGACTGGTATTTTCAAATAATGTTTTTCTCTAATTTTTGCCCATGCAAAATGACAGTAATGCATTTCTAATATAGTGTTTTCGGAAGTAACTGTGTATTTTATTTTTCCCATACCATAGGAAGAGATGCCATCCCAGTTACACGTCATGTCCCTCCACAATTAATAGTCATCTATGTCTCAAATTTATCCATTCTTTCAGCCACATAGTGCAGATGCTTGGTAATATAACTCCCAATCTGGCAGCCAAAACCTCCTCTTGTAAAAACCTCCTCTTGTAAAAACCTCCTCTTGTAAAAACCTCCTCTTGTAAAATTTCAAACTTATTCTAGCTTTTTTCCCTTGCCAAATAAATTTTGATGTTAATCTATTTAGTTTCCCAAAATATTTTCTCCCCAACTTTATTGGAATTGTTTGGAACAAATATACATAGTAATCTTGGCAAAATGTTCATTTTAATGGTAGCTATTCTTCCTATCAGTGATAGTTGAAGGCTTTTCCACTTTTCCAAATCTAGTTTAATTTGTTGTATTAATTTGGAATAATTATCTTCTTTTATAGTTACACATCTGATAGTTGAGTTCCCAAATATTTAACTTTCTTCACTATCTGGATATCTATTTTCTTCATTAGATCTTTTTTCTGTTTGTCTGCAATATTTTAACTAGTATTTTGGTTTTCTCTTTATTTTCAATCCTGCAACTTCACCATAGGCTTCTATTTTTTTTATTAGTGTGGGTGATTGTGATTCTTCTATAATAAATACTAGGTTATCTGCAAATGCCTGTAATTTGTATTTTTACTTTTTTGTTTCCATCCCTTTTATTTCTATATCCTGTCTGATATTTCTATTTAGCACTTCCAGTGTCAAAATAAATAGTAATGGGGACAAGGGACATCCTTGCCTTGTGCCTTTTTTAATATTGAAATTCTCTGTCATGTCACCATTTACAATAACTTTTGCAGTCTGTTTAAAGTAAATCGTCTTGATCATATTGGTAAATTTTTCATCTAATTCTGTATATTTTAATTGTGGTAATATAAATTGCCAGTTTATATTATCAAATGCTTTCTGTGCATATAGGAAGATAAACGCCATTTGTTTTTCAGGATGTGCTTCATAGTATTCCAATATATTCAAAATAATCCTCATATTATTTTTGATTTGTCTGTTAGGTAAAAACCCATTCTGATCTGGGTGTATAAACTCATTCAGAAATCTGTTCAATCTTTCCACTATTATTGATGCATATATTTTATAGTCCATGTTTAGTAACAAAATTGGCCTATAGTTTTTGACCTGCCTTAAATCTGAATCTTCTTTTGGTATAAGAGTAATGTTTGCTTCCATCCAAGTCTTGGCTTCTAACAAAACTTCATTGCAGACTTCCAACATTGACTGTCATAGAGCGTCTTGTAAGTATTTATAAATTTCCACCAGTAACTCATCTGGCCCTGGTGTTTTGTTGTTGTTTCTTAATTGCCTCTAAGTTCAAACATTGCTATCCTTTCATTTAACATAGTTCTCACTGTTTCAGGCACTTTAGGTAGCTTAGCTTCTTCCAAGTATTACTTCATTTTATCTTGTGAGATTTTCTCTTGATCATATAGGTTTTCATAGTAATTCCGAATTATTTTCTTTTTATTGTCATTTTGGTGCTGAAGTATGCCCTTCTCATCTGCCAAACATTATATCTGTCTCTTTTCTTTCTCCTTTTTTAATTTGTATGCCAGCCACCTTCCTGGTTTATTAGCATTTTCAAAGAAGTTTTGCTTTGCCGTTTTAATTTTTTGTGCCATTTCTACTTTTTCAGTTAAACTCAGTTTGTTTTACTAGTTCCATTTGGTTTTTAAGATTCTTTTTTGTGGTTCTTTCTGTAGCTGTATTTTCTAATCTTTTGTACTACCTTTCTAATGTCTTTTGATGTTGCTTATTTTCCTTATTTTTCCTTCCTATATAAGTTATGGCTTATAAAATATGCCTTGGCTATATCCCGTACATTTTGCAATAGAAAGTCTTCCTTTCTATTATCTTTGAAGAAGTTCATTTCTTTTTCAACTGTTTGTATGAATTCTTTATCATTTAATATGGATTGATTCAACACCCATCTCACTTTTTTCTTTTGTCCTTTCCACTTAACCTTAACTGGATTGTGATTTGCCCACAGTTCTATTTCTATTTCTTGTACATTGGCACTTAATTCCAGTGGCATCCATATGATGTCTAATTTGACCAGGATTGGTGTCTATTTGAGTAGTGTGTGTATTGATTTTTCTTGGGATTTCTTTCTCTCCATATGTCTTGAATGCGTACTTCTTCACCATTTTAAAGAAGGTCTTTGGTAAAGTTTTCCTTACCTTTTTACTTATTTTACTGCTTCTATAATCATGTTTTGCATCTGTAATTGCATTGAAATCTCCTATTACACAAATATTTTTAATAGTTCAGTTCTACAATTTTCTCATGGAGTTTTCCATAAAATTCATGTTTCTGCAGGCAAACAATAATTTAATGTGTATGTAAATAAAATATGTAAATATTTTCCCAGATATGAATAGAATTCAGAAGTGGAATAAACAAGAAAATGCAGCAAAAAAGTGAAGGAATGGCAAATGTCTGTGGAGATTCTCAGTCATCCAGCTCATGTTTGTCCCAAAGCTGTTTTTTCAAGAGGCAACTGGACTTTCTGGTTTTTCTTTAAAGATGTTTCGCTTCTCATCCAAGAAGCTTCTTCAGCTGTGACTGAATGTTGAGGAATGGAAGGATTTATACTTCTTGCAGACAGCGACCCATGGACAATGTTCCTCCAGGCCTTCCTGTCTTCTACCATCTTCTGGAGTCCATTTAAGCTCATGCCTACTGCTTCAGTGACTCCATCCAGCCACCTCATTCTCTGTCATCCTATTCTTCTATTGCCTTCAATCTTTCTCAGCAATATGCTCTTCTCCAGTGAGCCCTTCCTTTTCATTAGGTGGCCAAAGTATTTGAGTTTCATCTTCAGGATCTGGCCTTCTAAAGAGCAGTCAGGGTTGATCTCCTCTAGGACTGACCAGTTTGATTGCTTTGCAGTCAAAGGGACTCACAGGAGACTTCTCCAGCACCATAGTCCAATTTTGAGTGTAGGCTATTCCTGCTGTTGTCAGAATATGTATTATAAGATATTCAATTTCTTTTTTATACTTGCCTCTAATTATCCCTAATAAAAACATTTCCAGTTTGAGTTCTATTTTTTCTTTCGTTATTTCTTGCAGCCAAATTTTAATTTTAAGCTAGAATTTTTGGGCTTTGGAGCATAACCACCACATATGAAAGAAGGTACCAGTTGTTAGTTTACACTTCCAACATGTTGGACTCAAATTTGGATATATCTTGGCCAATCTTGATGGTGCTAGATGCCAACGATAAAACATTTTGTAAAGATTTTCCCTATATGAGGCTGCCATTGTTAGTTTATAATTTCTCTTCCAAAGTCTTTCCCAATCCTCTAATTAAATGTTATATCCAAAAATTTTCATCCATGCAATTATTGTCTGTTTTACTACCTCCTCTTCTGTATCAAATTTTAGGAGATAGTTGTAAATTTTGGATATACGTTTTTCTTCTGGTCCTAATAAAATTTTATCGAGCTGTTGGGGACTTAACTCTATACCAAATTCTTCCATATCCTTTTTTTGTATTTTGTTTGCACCTGCAAGTAGGGCCACCAGTCTAACTTAATTCCTTCTTCCTTCAATTTTTGATTTGTTTTTAGGTTTCCCTGTTTATCCAAAAATTGGTTGTACCTAATCATTTTAGAAATATCCATGGTATTTGGATTGAACATTGCTTCCATAGTTGAAAGCCAACTTGGTATCTCAATATAATGTTTTGGTTCAATTTTACACCAGATCTCTATAAGTGCCTCCCTAATTAAATGTTGCCTAACATGTGAGTACATCTTTTGGTTTATCTCCCATAGGATGGCATGCCATCCAACTTGCACGTCATGTCCCTCTAATGTTAATATACTCCTATTGCTTAAAGATATCCAGTCCAAGTTAATTTTGCTGCCTGTTGATATAACTCCCAATCAGGGAGTCCGAAACCACCTCTGTATCTATTATCCTGCAATAGCTTTAGTTTAATTCTAGGTTTTTTACCTTCCAATATAAATTTTGTTATCATCTTGTTTAGTATCCCATAATTTTTTAAATTTAACTTTACTGGCACAATCTGGAATAAGTATAGCCATCGGTAGCAAGTTCATCTTTATTGCAGAAATCCTTCCTACTAAGGAGAGCTGCAATTTTCCTCATTTTTCCAAATCCTTCTTTGTTTGGTTAATTAACTTATAATTATCTTCTTTTAAGCATGAACATTTTGCTGATAAAATTAAATATTTGGATATTTTGTTATTTATAATTTGAAGTTATGTTTCTTTTTCTAATTCTTTTTTTTTTTGATGATCTAAAAGATTTTTAACTTAATGTTTTAGTTTTATTAATTTTAAGATTCACTACTCTACCATATTCTTCTATTTCGTTTAGCAATATTTTCCCAACCTCATTCAGATTTTCTACAAAAAATACCATATCATCAGCAAATCTTGCATTTTATACTCTTCCTTTTTTATCTTAGTGGCTGTAATTTCTTCTTTATTTCTAATTTGATTTAATAAAACCTCTATTGCAAGTATAAATATCAGAGGCGAGATCAGACATCCCCGTCTCACTCCTTTAGCTATGTGAATTTTTTCCGTGAAGTCCTCATTAACCCTTACACTGGCTTTCTGATTTGAATAGATTTCCTTTATCATTATTACGAAGTTTAGTCTAAATTTCATCTCTGTCATCTGATACAAAAAGAATTCCCAATTTAAATTGTCAAATGTTTTCTGCACATTCAGAAAAACCAATGTTACTGGTTTCTCTGGATGCGCTTCATAAATATTCCAAAATATTCATTACTGTCCTGGTGTTATTCCTGATTTGTCTTTTTGGGAGGAAACTATTTTGATCCGGATGTATTACTTCATTCAAAACATTTTTCAATCTTTCTGCCATAATAGTCATCAGTCAGCATTCAGCAATGAGATTGGTTTGTAATTCTGAATTTGGGAATGGTCTGTACCTTCTTTCGGTATATGTATGTTTCTCCCCATGACTTTGGTAGTTTTGTTTTTAATAATGCTTCGTTGTACAATTCTAACAGCAGTGATTGCGTTGTTTCCCACAAGGCTTTATAGAAATCTCCCGGAATCCCATCTGGACCTGGCGTTTTGTTGTTTTTCTGTTTGGTAATTGCTTTTTCTAATTCTATCTGTGTTATTTCCTTTTCTAAAAGTTCTTTATTTTCTTCTGAAATTTGTGGCAGATTTTCCCCTTTAAAATATTGTACTATCTTATCCCTCTCTATTTGATCCCTTCTGTATAGATTTGTTTCTGGAGGGTGTTAAATATCTGATTCCATTTAACTGGCAAGTTCAATCCGTTGATATTTATGGATAGCAACTTTATTTCCTCTTCCATTTTACTGTTTACATTGTTGTCTTGGTCTTCTATGAATTCTATTTTCCATCTGTGCTCTTGTTCTGATCTCCTCTCCTTCACTCTGTTCTTTTCGTCTTTGTTTCTCTCTTCCTGTTTTAAGTCCTTTTCGTTCAATTGCTCCTGGCTTCTGGTTTTTAGCTCTTCTTTGCTACCCAATTCTTCTATAATCAGTTCATCATAGAAATCTTGTGCTTTTTTAAATTGTCTATTCTAAGTTTCTTTTCTCACCAGGTTATGAGCATGCCTTCTGGGATAAGCCATCTGTCTGTTATATTATGTTTTATTGGACGTGTAGTAAGAAAACGATAGCTTATTGGGTGAGAGATGCCTTGCTAAACACATGGGAAAAAATAAAAAGGAATCATTATGTGAAGGTGCCATTATGGTTATCAAAATTAGAAGCAGTAATACATCGCAATGCTCTGGATTGTACCAAAATGATAAAATATAGAGATTTGCTAAATGAAAAAGGGGAATTAAAAACTAGGTACCAATTAAAACTTCAGGGAATTGAGATAGGATGGTGGCCTTATCTGCAACTGCAAGCACTTTATAATAAGGATAAAGAACAATTTGGCTTTTACACAACCCAGCAAGAGTTAGATAAAAGGGGAAGAAAAAAACAGTAAAATTTACAACTATTAGATTATAAAATGAAGGACAAAACTGGCAAAGAAAGTATGGTAATTTGGGCTAAAAATGTGGGCCATACTATCAACTTAGACCAGTGGGAACATATTTGGCAGGTAAACTATAGATTAACAATGTTGGTCTCTTACAAAGAGAACTTATATAAAATGTTTCATTGCTGGCACTTAACCGCCATGGAGATTAGCCAAAATGTTCCCAAACATGCTACCCAAGTGTTGGAAATGTAATTATAATCAGGGAACATATTTCCATATGTGGTGGACGTGCCCCCATGCATGAAAATATTGGCAAAAAATTAGAATATGGATAGAGGAAATAACAAAACAGAGAGTAAAATTCAAACTGGAAATTTTTTTATTAGGCATGTTAGAACCAAATATGAATAGGAAGCACCAATATTTGATCCTTCATAAAACAGCAGCTAGAATAAGTTTTGCTCAAAATTGGGAATTGGCTATGAACCCTTCAGAAAATATGATAATCAATAAGATACATGAATGTGCCAAGATGGATAGACTAACTAAGTTGTTAAAAGATAAGCAAGACAGTGAATACTACAAAACATGGGATATCTGGTACAACTGGATAAAGAAAAGATGATATCTGATGATCTGGTAACACTTTGGAAAAAAAGGGTGATGTGTAAATAAATGTAAATAAACTATATGTATGCATAGAGTTTAAAATGATGAAGGAGTTATTATGACAATGTATAACACACTATCAGAAGAAAAGTACAAGTGTATCTACTCTTTAGACAACGTTGTAAAATGTGAATATATGTTTTTAATTTCATAAATGTTGAATAAACAAAGTTAAAAAGAAAAAAGAAAAAAAATAGTCCCTCCTCTGTTCTCTAATTCTTCTGGGGATCTGTTTTAGTGTCTGCATTTCTTTACTTTTATAAGTTACAGTTT